GGGATCTCACTGATCAGTAAGGACATGGTCAGTTCCGGTACATTGTCGTTGACATCCGTCACTACTACTTCCACGGTGCATTTTCCCGTGAGACCCCCGCCATCTGAGGCTTCAATTTCCATTCGATAAGACTGAATTTCTTCAAAATCCAATAGTCGTTTTAATCTAATTTCCCCCGTGGCTGGGTTTATTTCAAAGGCCTGAATGATTTGGGTTGAAGCTTGGAAAAGTGAGTAGGAGTGTTCCCCGTAGGTCCCAGCATCTGCGTCGCTGGCGGCGACAGCAGCGACCAGCGAACCTAGCGGGCTGTTCTCTGGGATCTGAACCTGGTACAGCTGCTGAGCAAACTCGGGGGCGTTGTCGTTGATATCCATGACCAGGATGAGGACCTGGCAAGTCCCAGTCCTCGGAGGCACCCCACCGTCCAGCGCCGTGAGGGTCAACCTGAACTCGGGCTGCTCTTCCCGGTCCAGCGCCCTGTCCAGCACCAGCTCCGGGTATCTCCAGCCATCGCTGAGGTTGCGGGTGAGGAGGTGGAAGTGGGAACTGGCGTCGATGGTGTAGGTCTGAACCGCGTTGCTGCCCACATCCACATCCTGAGCTGCTTTCAGAGGGAACAGCGCCCCGGGACGGCTGCTCTCCGGGATCTTGAGTAGGATTTCCTTCTCTGTGAACTCCGGGGCGTGGTCATTGACGTCTTGGAGCTGAAGTTCACCTTGGATAAACTGCACAGGGTTTTTCAGTAACACCTGGAAGTGCAGTAAACACGGATTCGTGTCACCACACAATTCCTCGCGGTCCATCCTTTCTTTTACAAGCAAATTTCCGCTCCTCTCTTCCAGCTCCAAATACTGTTTATTCCCTTTGGAGAGAATCCGGGCACCCCGCGCGATCAGCTCCCCTGCTCCCAGCCCCAGATCTTTTGCTAGGTTAGCTATAAGAGAACCGCTCTCCCTCTCTTCCAGAATGGAATACTTGTGGGCCGCGCTGCCCACCTCCCACAGTAGTAATGAGAAAATAATGGCGGTCACTTGCCTTTTCTGCAGCGCATTTGAGAGCGGAGTCTCCATTGTTCCTCCGGGGACAAAGACTGAAGGTGCAGTCTTCAACAATAGCACACACAAAAAATAATGCTTCACGTAAACTCAGCTAAATTTAGTCACCTTGAGTTGCTTTCATTGACTGACGGGAGAATAGGTACCTCTCTGAAGCTTTTTGTCTCCAGCAGTGTGAAAGGTTTCCTTTGCAAGCTGCTAAAAACTGCTTGGCTTGGAAGGAGTCGCTGACGCTGGAGACGTTTTACATTTTCTTAGCCTGCAGCGCCACCAAGCGTTCTACTTTACAACTTCAGATAATTTTCATTTTAAAACAAGTTTGTTAAAACAACTGAAAGGCATTGCTTGATTTTTTTAAAAAGATTTTTTTAAATTGGAAAATCAGATTTACAGAGAAGAGACAGAGAAAGATCTTCCATCTGCTGGTACAGTCCCCCAAGTGGTCGCAGTGGCCAGAGCTGAGCTGGTCCAAAGCCAGGAGTCAGAAGCTTTTTCTGGGTCTCCAATGCGGGTACAGGGTCCCAAGGGTTTGGGCTGTTGTCTACTGCTTTCCCAGGTCACAAGGAGGGAGCCGGATGGGAAGTGGAGCAGCTGGGATACAAACCAGCACACATATGGGATCCTGGTGCATGCAAAGCAAGCACTTTAGCCACTAGGCAACCATGCCGGGCCCCATTGCGTGATTTTTAGGTCACAGAATGTTAAAAATTCCCCTTTCCCACCTGTTATGAAGTCTTGTTCAGGTAATTAACAGTAGTTGTGAAATCACAAATAACTTCCAGGCCTATTTTCTCTTAAAACTCTGCTGAGGTAAATTCATATCTACTTAGTATCTCTCCAGATAATACCAGTAAGTTCTTCCTCTTGGGGAATTTACACTACAAAAATACTCATTTGTTTTTGTTAAGACAAGTTTATGGTTTTTAAAATTCTACTCCCAAATTGTAATGTTCCTATAACTTCTCAAATAAACTTAAAAGGTGATTTCTTGTCAGCCTCTGGGCTTCTTGGTAAACTTTTCCCTTTATAAACCGACTTGTACAATGCCTAGCAGAGTTTTACTAGAATTTATTAGACTAGTACAATACCCATTTCTTTTATTAAAAACCGGTATATGCTCAGAATTCAATGTCTTTTCTACAAGCATGAAGATAAGGGGCAAAACTCTGTTTTCTGGGGAAGGGTTCTGATCTACCTTCGCTGGCCCTGTCCCTGCACATATCCTCGAGGACTCTGGGGATGGGGTTATTGGATAAACTTCATTGCTGCAAAGGAAACCATGTGGCTGGGGCAAGAATAGCAGGAGAAGCAAATTCCCTCCAAAGAACAAGGATCCTGTTAGAAGGAACCCAGAGTAAATCTCTGTGAATACAAACAGTAATTAGCTGGAAGTCATCCTTTTCAGTTCACTTGTATGGAAGCAAATCACAGGCAAATATATTTTAGGTAAGCCTAGTTCCATTTCAGTTAAGAATGGACATAAAATATTCACTCTATTGTCATGTAAATATAAATTGCCTATAGGCAATGGAAAATATCTTTTTCATAAAATGTGACAAATATAACCTACGCAAATAAAACCAAATATGGACTAAAGTGTGGGAGCAAGGAATTTGTGTTTGTTAAAGACAAATGCTTAAACAGTACCAAAAGGGAAAATCTTACACTAGCTACTGACCTGCTATCAATAACTTACTCAGTTGTTAACAGTGTACTCAGCAGCTTGACAAAGAGTTCGCAAGCTTGATTTTGACAAAACAATACTTCTGAATTATCCAATTTTTAGACACATATAAGGAGATAAAGTGTCTTCTCAAACATTTTTGTTTTTTTAACAGAAGATGAGTGGAGGAGATTCTCTGATTTGAAGGAGATCAAATGAGTGATTTAAGAAGTAACAATATGGGGCGGCGTGGCCTAGGGGCTAAAGTCCTGGTAACTAAAGTCCTCACCCTGAACGCCCAGGATCCCATATGGGTGCCGGTTCTAATCCCTAATCCCGGCAGCTCCACTTCCCATCCAGTTCCCTGCTTGTGGCCTGGGAAAGCAGTCAGGACGGCTGCACCCAGTAGGATACCCGGAAGAAGTTCCTGGATCCTGGCTTCGGATCGGCATAGCATCGGCCATTGCACTCACTTGGGGACGGAAGATCTTCCTCTCTGTCTCTCCTCCTCTCTGTATATCTGACTTTACAAAAAAAATAAATAAATCTTTAAAAAAAAAAGTAGTAATATGAAACGGATTGTAAAAGTTCCTGGGGGGGAAATGGGCTTGAAAGACAGCCCTCTGGGCACAGAACAATGGTTCAATGACTAAATCCTCACCTTGCATGTACCAGCATCCCATATGGGCGCCATTTCATAGCCCAGCTGTTCCCTGCTTATGACCTGGGAAAGCAGCAGAGGATGGCCCAAAGCCTTGGGATACAGAACCCATGTGGCAGACCTGGAAGAAACTCCTGAAGTGCCTCAGCTCCAGGCCATTTCGGCCATTTGGGGAGTGAACCAGGGAATGGAAGATCTTTCTCTCTGTTTTTCATCTCTCTGTAAAATCTGATCTGCCTGTTCAAATAAAGAAATACATCTTTTTTTTATTATCATTATTATTTTTTATTGGAAAGGCAGATATACAGAGAGGAGAGACAGAGAGGAAGCTCTTCCGTCCGATGATTCACTCCCCAAGTGAGCGCAACGGACCGATACTATGCTGATCCGAAGCCAGGAGCCTCTTCCGGGTCTCCCACGCGGGTGCAGGTTCCCAAAGCTTTGGGCCTTCCCGGGCCACAGGCAGGGAGCTGGAAGGGAAGCAGGGCTGCCGGGGATAGAACCGGCGCCCATATGGGATCCCGGGCATGCAAGGCGAGGACCTTAACCACTGCGCCACTGCACCGGGCCCAACAAATACATCTTTTAAAAAATTCTTGCCTCACAGTGCTGGGATCCCGTATGAACACCAGTTTGTGTCCCAGCTGCATTTCATCTAACTCCCTTCTTGTGGTCTGGGAAACCAGCAGAGGATGACTCAAAGCCTTTGAAGCTGTGCCACAATGGGAGACACGGAGAAGGCTCCTGGCTCTGGGCTTCCTTCCAGCTCAGCTCTGATCATTGGGGCAACTTGGGGAGTGACCATGTGGACAGAGATCTTTTTCTTTGGTAAATCTATTTTGTATTTGCCTTTCCAATGTAAATAAACAAATATTTTTAAATAATGAAAATAAAATTTAAAAAGACAACTGAGTTTAATGGTAAAAGGGAATCCATGCATACTTTTATAGTATGCATTTCCACAAAATTTTAGAATGCAATTTGCTTTTAATAATTCTAAGTATACTTTAATATACAAAGTTATTAGCATGCCTTTACACAGAAAATGTAAAATATTTTTAAAAAAATTATTGGAATGTATACCAAATATTCATTCAGCATTTACAACTGACGTGGTGCTTTCTCTAAAAGCTATCATGCTCATAAATGAGACTAAGAAACTAAATTAATGTGTTGACACTACAATGGTGCTTACATGAATAATGTTGGCGCTATTGCCCCATACTGACATACACGTCTGAATAGCACTGTCAGCACTTACTTATCATCATTGTTTCACATTTTGGGGCTTGCACCCCAATTTAGGCTAATACTGGATAATAAAAACAAAGCACATTTTTAAATATTGCAATACAGCAATAATAAAATGACTATAACAATATGTCAACTAAAATTGTTTAATTTATGAAAACATTTGTTTTATAAATGGTCACATACGGAAAAGTGTTTCAATACAATAAAGCAAAACTAGAGAAAATACTGTGTATGTTTAGTATCTAAACTTAAATTAAAAAAAATAGGAAACTAAGCAACATACAGCACTAACATAGCATGCATCAACAACTAATTATAAAGAGATTTCAAAATCTAACAAACACAAATATATACATAAATCAAATACTTAACTGAAAGGGAAGCTACTCCGAACGCTGGGGCTCTTCTCTATTTCAATACCAGGAAATTCAGGAGAAAAATTCGGGGCAATCGGCTTCATGAACTTGAACTCACCAGTCCCACTCCCTCCACTCACACACACCTCATACTGGTAGCTCTGCGACAGCGTCCCCGCCCCGCCCACGTCCACCAGAGGACCCACACCACCACACCCAGCCCCGGCAGGGAAGAAGCGGCCCTCGGCCACAGACACCCCACACCCTGACCCCACCGCCACAGCCCCAGCCCCGGCCCCGCCGCGCCCACACAGCCGCGCGGCCACCAGCGCCAACACAGACGCCAAGAACAGAGAAGACACCGCCGCCAGCGCCACCACCAGCGACACCGTCAGCGCCTCCGCCTGCCCAGCCTCGCCCCCCACACCCCCCACACCCGCCTGCCCCGCCTGCCCCGCCTGCCCCGCCGGCGCGTCGGGCCGCGGCAGGTAGGGCTGCGAGAAGCCGTCCACCAGCAGCACGTGCAGCGCCACGCTGGCCGAGAGCGGCGGCTCGCCGTGGTCGCGCACCTGCACCAGCAGCCGCTGCTGCGGCGCGTCGCGCTCGCTCACAGGCCGCGCCGTGCGCACCTCGCCGCTGTGCGCCCACACGCCGAACAGCCCGGGCTCCGTGGCCTGCAGCAGCTCGTACGACAGCCACGCGTTGCGGCCCGAGTCGCCGTCCACCGCCACCACCTTGCTCACCACGTAGCCCGCCTCGGCGCCGCGCGGCACCAGCTCGGGGCACGCGCCCGCCGCAGAGCCGTTGCGCGGCGGGTACAGCACGCGCGGCGCGTGGTCGTTGGCGTCGCGCAGCACCACGCGCACGCGCGCCTCGCCGCTCAGCGCCGGAGACCCGCCGTCCGACGCGCGCACGCCGAACTCGAAGGCGCGCAGGGTCTCGTAGTCGAGCGCGCGCAGTGCGAACAGCTGCCCGCTCGCCGCGTCCAGGGCCACCAGCGCGCCCACGTCCACCTGCTCCTGTCCCTGTCCCTGTGGCTGCTGCGTTGCCTGGTCTTGTGTGAGCAGCGAGTAGGTGAGCTGGGCGTTGGTGCCCGCGTCCCTGTCGCTGGCGCTCACGCTGCCGATGTGCAGCGCGGGGCTGTTGTTCTCCAGCACGAACAGGGTGTACAGGGCCTGGCTGAAGGTGGGCGCGTTGTCGTTGACGTCGGACACGTGCACTGTCACGTTGTGCTGGCTCTGCAGCCTGGGCGTGCCCAGGTCTGAGACAGTGATGGTGATGGTGTACTGGGCCCTGGCCTCCCTGTCCAGGGGTCCGTCTGTTACTAAGGTGTAGAAATTCTCCGTAGATGGTCTTAGGATAAAAGGGGTTTTGTCGTCTATAGAACAAACAACTTCCTGGTTACGTCCAGAGTCTGCATCTGAAACGCTGAAAACTGCGACAACTATGTCTGGTGCATTTTCTGGAATTGGGCTGAAGAGTGATGACATGGTCAGTTCAGGGGCGTTGTCATTCACATCCAGAACGTTGAGGATTAAAGAGCATTTCCCTGTGAGACCCCCGCCATCTGTGGCTTCGATATCCACGTGATAAGACTGAAATTCCTCAAAGTCCAATGTCTTTTTCAGGCGAACTTCTCCTGTGATTGTGTCGATTTCAAAGGGTTGGTTAACGTCATCGACCTGAAATAGGGCGTAAGACAGCTCCCCAAAGGATCCTGCATCCAAATCTCTGGCAGAAACGGTGAGAACCCGATAGCCTGGGGGGCTGTTTTCGGGGACCTGTGCCTCATAGCGCTCCTGAACGAACTCGGGGGCATTGTCATTGCTGTCCAGCACCAGGATCCTAATCGTTGCAGTCCCTGACCGTGGAGGAGACCCGCCATCCTGCGCAGTGAGGGTCAGTTCTAGATGGGGCTCCTCCTCGCGGTCTAGCGCCTTGTCCAGCACAAGTTCCGGGTATTTTCTACCGTCACTCCGATTGCGGGTGACAACGTGGAAGTGGGCATTGGTGCTCACGGTGTAGCTCTGAAGGCTGTTGCTGCCTGCGTCTAAATCTTGTGCCATTTTCAGTGGGAATATTTTTCCCGGCGCAGTAATTTCGGATATTTTCAGAACCATTTCTCTGGCAGGAAACTCTGGGGCGTGGTCATTTATATCTCTGATCAGCAAGGCAGCCTGAAAAAACTGCAGGGGATTTTCCAGTAACACCTGGAACGGCAGCACACATGGCTCCGTGGAGCCACACAGCTCCTCCCGGTCCAGTTTCTCATTTAGCAGCAAATCATGGGTGTTCGGATCAAGCTGCAGAGGTTGTCTGTTCCCTTTGAAAACAACCCGGGCGCCCCGTGAGGCCAGCTCTCCCACTCCCACTCCCAGGTCCTTTGTCAGATTGGCCACAAACGTGCCGCTTTCTGTCTCCTCCATTACTGAGTACTGAATGGATTCTGAACCCACCTCCCACAAAAGCATCAACACCATAAGGATTGCCACTTGCCTTTTGTCGTGCCGCGCTTTTGTTTGCATCATCTCCATTGTTTGGTCCGATTCTAGAGGAAGACCCCTTTTGCAGCTCCTTACAGCCACCATCCACTGTGGGCTCTCTGAAATGCCTTTGCTATCGATTTTTCAATCGATTCCTCCACCGGGTCCGGCGGGAACAGCCCTCCTGGACACTTCTAGCTTAGCTTTAGCTGCACTGTCTTGTTTATTTTTACCTCTGCTTCTCGGTGAAATGAAGTCCAGGCAAAGTTCCGCTCTGTCATTCATTCCCTTAGCCTGCATCGCCACCATGCGTTCAAAATGTTAACTTCAGCGGGTGTTTTTAGATGGATACGATTTTCAGCTCACTTTTAAGTTGAATTGGTATCTCTCAAACTTAGTGTGTGAACCACGTGCATTAAAACAAAAAATGTTGGGAGCCTTGTTGTTGAGGTTGGGTTTTGCTGCTGCTTGTTAGGCCCATTCCTGGGTTCTCTCCAGTTCTTGAATGGAAATCTGCATTTGAATCTGTCTCCACCTTTGAGAATCATCCCCTCAGGCTGTAGACAGTTTAATTCACCTCTGAAGACAGCTGGGAGTTGTGAGTCCAAGAGGGACATTCTACAGTTGTCCCCAAAACACAACACACTTTGCAAAATATGAAAGTTGATTAACAACAAGCAAGGCGAGTAACTTCGCTAAACTAAATGCCTAATGAATGGCATGAGCAGCAGATTCTGTCATGCAGTTATGCCTACAAAATAAGGGCGACAACTGGGCTACTAGCAGAAGGGAGACCAAGAGATACTCATGATAGAAGTGCCGAGTGCGAGCAAATAAAATTATCTTAAAAAGGAACTAAGATGAATCAAATATTACTTATGACAAGCATTTAAGGATACTAATTCATTTTTTAATGGGTAGATTTGGCCGTGGTTTTAAAAGTCTCATGCATTGCATTCTATTTTTTGGTTGAATTCCCCTCTTCAATTAAATATGATCAAAAAGTACCAGTCTGTTTTAAAAACATAATGCAGTGCAGAAAATAAGCATTCAAGAGCAGCACAGAAGACCACCAAATCTAATGTAAATTCAGGAAAAATAAGGTGATATTAAAAGATTACTAGTAACTTAGTGAATGACATCAATGGTGGGACATCATTGGCCTGTTTATTCCTATGTCACCAATTTCTGCTTAAACTGCAAAATGTGCTTCAAAATAATATGTTGGTGCATGCACATATAAGAAAGCAAAATGGGTCAAGCACAAGTTCAGGATTCACATTTATTAAGAGATAAAATCAATTGAGCTCAAGGAAAATTCACTTTAGATTTCTTCAAAATGTTTCCACTCTATGCAAGCTGAAGCTAAATAAAGTCTAGAGTCTAATCATCCGAGTTCATCTTGTGGCTGAAAATCACAGGAATCGAGCCAGAAAGACAGTTACAATACCAATGTGACCAGCCCGGAGGGCTCACCTGGTCAACATTACTGAGAACAGGCTCTCCCTGGAGAATATGAGTAATACCAAAGTGGGCTGATGGAGTCAAGCCAATACACATCTTGCTTGGCTGGTTTCAGTTTTTCTGAAGCAGGCTCGTTTCTAAATACATCTTTCTGAGGAAGCACTGAGTGTTCTGAGTCCAGCCTGATGGCATTCATTCATTGTTTATTTACTTTTTGCCTATAGCACCACCAGAAATCCTAAAACAGATTTTTTAAGTTATTTTCATGTTTAAAGCAATTCTTAGCAGTCATATAGGGTGGGTTCCAAGCCCTTTTAGGTTCCAAGTCCATACTGACTTGCCTCCCTGATCATTGGTAGCTATAACAGGATACCTTAGTGCATCCAAAATAGAACAGCAGGATGTGTGAGGCGCGTGCCTTTAATAGGAACTGGTTACCTCTAATTCCTTCAGCAGGATGTGTGAGGCGCGTGCCTTTCAATAGGAACTGGTTACCTCTAATTCCTTCAGAAGAATGCGTCTCTGTTTTGTTCTTTTGATGTTGATTTCCTGGAGTAGAACTGAATTGACTTTATTTGCATAAGCCTCTTACGGAGACTCTGATTGAAGGGCCCAGCTCTGGGTTTGTCTTCAGCTGCCTTCGCAGGGAGCTGGATTGGAAGCCGAGCACTCCATTATGGGATGTCATTGGTAGCTTTATATTTTCTGATGTTTGCTTATTTCTTTTGCTGTATTTTTTTGGGGGGGTGGAGGGGACTTGGGCTCCGTATATTTTTTTCATTTGATTCAGCTATGTTGATAACTTCCTGTTGAAACATTTCATGCAATCTGTTTTCAAATCTTTCTTGGATAATTGTAACATCTCATCTTGATGCTGGCATATATTAATTGTCTTTTAAACTCGGGTTTGCTATATTCTTGGTATGACACAAATACTTCCTTTTTAAAAAAATTTTTAAAGAGTTATTGCAAACCCAGATATATAAAGAGGAGAAGAGACAGAGAAATTATCTTCTGTCCGATGATTTACTCCCCAAGTGACCACAACAGCCGGAGCTGCACCCATCCAAAGCCAGGAGCTCTTTTGGGTCTCCCACAAGGGTGCAGGGTCCCAAGGCTTCGGGTCGTCCTCGACTGCTTTCCCAGGCCACAAGCAGGGAGCTGGATGGGAAGCAGGGCTGCCGGGATTAGAACTGGAGCCCATGTGGGATCCTGGTATGTTCAAGGCAAGTACTTTATCTGCTAGGCCATGGCGCCGGACCCAACAAATTCTTTCTTCCTTGATGTGCAAAAAGAATCTCTTTTGAATGCACACAGAGGTATATTCAAGAATATAATGGAGTGCTATGAGAGTCATATAAATGAGCTGCATAAACACAAAGACTGAGTAAAACAATGCTCACATATGAGGCCATTTCTCTGAGTTCCAAAGACAGACAATGTGGACAATAAAGACTATATTCACATTTGCAATTGTGGAAAGGAACAAATGGTTATTTAAAAATCTAAGATACAACATGTTTCTGTAGTGATAAAGGTTGTTAAGATGCAGATACATGAAAACTTGCAAAATTTAGCCTCTGTCCTAATTCTTAAAACAGGTAATGGGTGCAGGGGTGCTAGTTATTTGAATAATTATGAATAATTAATAATAATTCATTCATGTAGGCACAACTTAATCCTGTATATACCATTGTATGTACTTTTTGACTTTTAATCAATTTAAAAATAGAACAAAGGAAAACAAACAGAAGCAAACAGAAGTCAACACGCCTAGATTGACATTCTGATTCAAGCATTTACTAGCCAGAGGCCTTTGGAATTCCAGCTCCCAGGTGAGATGGATCTCTCATGAATAGGGTTAATATCCTTAAGAAAACAAAAAACAACAAAAAAAAACAGACCCCAGAAAGCTCTCTCATCCTCTGTGCCTGGTAAGAGCGCCATGACAAGTCAACAGTCTGTAATTTAAAAGCACAGTCATCCAGGCACTCTGACTTTGGATTTTCAGCTCCCAGAACCCTAAGAAATAAATGTCTGTTACTTGTATGCCATTGAATCTATGGTATTTTGTTACCGTGGCCCAAACTACATCTGTGCCATGGCAGGCTGCTTTGCCTCTCTGTGTTCTACTTTGTCATATAAAAATGAAAAATCAACTGGACATTATTTTAATTGCTAAATCAGGTATACAAAAATACTTTTCATGAATACTCAAACACATAAACGTATCTAATAATATGTCATAAAATACATAAGAGTTGCTAATTATTTTCCCTCAAGACAGGTCTTCATTAAAAAAACAAAAAACTCAAGACTTGATTAGTATATAACAAATACATTTTCTGGTGAACATTGAGAAGGCATTTTTGGAATGCCAGCATAACATGTTTTGGATTCAGGCATCTGAAGGATCACATCCTGCCAGAGCTCCCTGCCGGTTCATCACATGGCACCTTATATCCAAGTCAGACATTTGCAAACCTGGCCCTGCTCTGCTTTGCACAAACACTCTGTCAGAATTTCCACTTGGGGCAGCAGAGTCCGTGAATGTCATCCTATCATACAAAGGTGGAGATGTGCAAAACAGCAGCTACTTTGTATCATCAGCCAGGTCTGTCTTGCCAATGGGCAGGTGAGCACAGTTCTTTGGAATATGGGAATCAGAAACAATAACGCTAAGATGAAGAAAAAAATACGGTATTGTTCTAAACAAATAATACAGGCAATAACATGAACTTTGAAAATGCCAACCTATATTATGAAAAAGCCACAATCAAGCAACAAAACACGAACTTAAATACACCACTGAAGTTAATGATTCACTAGAAAATAACCTAGAGCTTGTCAAGATGTAAAGGGAAAGAGACATAAGTTAAAAACAGAAGTAGCAGCCACATGGAGAAAGAAGTTCTCAACGGTCAATATCTGACAAGCTCAAGATTCAGAAAACAAGAGGATCTCTAATTTTAAGTGGTTGCCCTCTGTGGTGCTCATTGCTAATATGGCTGAGGAGTCATTTTGCTCATCTTCTTAAGGAATGGCTCTTTCTTGTATAATTTGCAGTTTTTAAAAATTTCAAATCCAATCATTTTTGCTGTGAATTCTCACACTTCCTATTCATTTGTCTTTTTCAATAAGTCCTTGTGATTCATTAATAGATCATCCATAACAGACATTTTGATTGTTTGTAAGCACCTGATGTTCTAAATGTCCCTTTCCCCACTGTTTTTGCTACATCTCCTGGGCATAGATGTTTTGATTTTATTGTCTTTTCTTCAGCGCCACATGGGTCATGTAGTAGCAGCATTTCTAGAAGATTTTTAAATTTCTTTTTCATTACTTTAGCAATGCATTGGTCATTCTGTAGCATGATGTTTGACTTCATGTGGATGTAAATGTTCTGTTTCTCATCCTGCTGTAGATTGTCTTTTCTGGCTCTGTATTTAAGGGGATGTACAGTAGCAGTGTAGTGGAGACTGACATGTCTGATGTGGAGAAAGTGCAGTATACCTCTCTGCATCTAGACTGAAGATTGACTTCCAGTGAAACTGTTGAATATATCCTGACAGTAAGATGCTGGACTCTCTGACATTGTCCATGCCTACAATGTGGAGAAACACTTCAATAGCAGAAAGATGGACTTAGAGGGGGGAAATCAGTAGGGGAGAATGTGGGGAGGGAAAGAAGATATCCCAGAGCCTACGGAAGTGTATCATAAAATAATAGTAATAATAATTGGGCCCGGCGCGATAGCGTAGTGGTTAGTTCTCGCCTTGCACGTGCCAGGATCCCATATGGGTGCTGGTTCTAATCCCGGCCACCCCGCTTCCCATCCAGCTCCCTGCTTGTGGCCTGGGAAAGCAGTCGAGGACAAGGACAGCCCAAAGCCTTGGGACCCTACACCTGCGTGGGAGACCCAGAAGAGCTCCTGGATCCTAGCTTCGGATTGGCTCAGCTCCAGCCATTGCGGCCGCCTGGGGAGTGAACCAACAGATGAGAGACCTTCCTTTCTGTTTCTCCCCCTCTCTGTATATCTGACTTTCCAATAAAAATAAATAAATATTTTTAAAAAAAATAATAATAAAGAAAACAAGAGGAATCTGGTCATATACTGAAAATCACTTTGAGAGAGAAAGCGAGGGAAGGAGGAAAAAAGAGACAAGAAAGGTAGAAGAGGAAGAGAGAGAGAAGGAAGGAAGAAAGAAATGAATAAAGATCTTCCATTTACTGGTTCATGACCCAAATTCCCACAACAGCCAGGATTGGACCAGTTCCGCCATGTGGGCATGATGGCCCCAAGTAGGTGAGCCATCACCTGCTGCCTCCCAGGTGTGTGCTAGCAGTGCATCAGACTCAGGAACAGAGCTGGGACTCAATCCCAGGCACTCTAACATGGGGTGCAAGTGTCCTGAGCGATGCCTGAACCACGTGCCAAACCCAGGGATGCAATTATTTAGACAAAAATGGTAGAGATATTTCCAGAGATGGAAAGGCATAAATTGTAAGAATATATACCACATTGAGTTCCCAACAAAATGAATAAAAAAAACCATGACATTATTATGACATTTAAGTTACTTCAAAGATTGAGGAAACTCTGAAAGTTCCCTCTGAAAGAGGGAAATAGCAAGATAGATATATTTCTAAAATGTATCAATACCCAACACAAGGAATTCTTAGCTGTGGCTTTAGAGTAGAAACAATCGCATAAGCTTTTGGCTATTGAAAAGTAGATCAAATATGAGGTCAGAGGGTGTAAAGGAGAAGCAGATTTAAAGGCTACTCTTCTCATTCATATAGAAAATCACACAAAACTCCTCATAATTTAACAGTAAACACAGGTTGCAGTTTGACCATAGCAGTACCCCCAAAACAGTGATAAGGTTGTATGTAAATGATGGAAGATTGATGTTATTTAAGTGTGGTGGATGCCCAATAATCATAAGAGGAAATGGCCCAAAACTTGTAAAATATATATATATACAACCGCATCCCTTTTATAGGGCTGTCACCACACAGTTCTGAACAGGAGGCTTAAACAGCAAGGGAGGTCTCAGAGCAGGGTTGTTCCCTCTGAGGAGTCTGTCCTTGCCTTGTGGGTGACCTCCTGTGGCTGCACTTGACCATCACTGTGTGTGCACTGTCCTCTCACCCTCTTTCTCTTCCACCCACCCCAGCTCCTCCAGTAATACTGGATTAAGACCCACTATAACTACTCATGTTAAAGGAATTAAAGTTTAAAGTTTACACTTGAAGTTCCTATCTGTGAGGTAGTAGAGGCTAGAGTTCCGACCTATTAAGCTGACAGGAGGATGGTGCAATTGAGGCATTAACAGATAAAAATATATTCCTTGGGCCCGGCGCAGTGGCGCAAGTGGTTAAAGGTCCTCGCCTTGCATGCCCGGGATCCCATATGGGCGCCGGTTCTAATCCCGGCGGCCCCGCTTCCCTTCCAGCTCCCTGCCTGTGGCCTGGGAAAGCAGTCGAGGACGGCCCAAAGCTTTGGGAACCTGCACCCGCGTGGGAGACCCGGAAGAGGCTCCTGGCTTCAGATCGGCATAGTATCGGCCCGTTGCGCTCACTTGGGGAGTGAATCATCGGACGGAAGATCTTCCTCTCTGTCTCTCCTCTCTGTATATCTGCCTTTCCAATGAAAAAATAATAAAAATAAATCTTTAAAATATATATATATATATTCCTTAGTAATAAGAAAGCAAATATCAAAAGGGGTTTTATAAAGGCTCAGAAGTGATTTCCAGTGGGACAAAATAGAAGAGACAATACCAGATGCCAGCGAATATGTGGAGGAATTTATACATCCATTCATTGATATAGTAGTACAAGTTAGTACAATCCTGGAAAAGTATGTCAAAATAGCTACTAAAAGTGCACATGTATTTACTAAATAAGTTACAGTTCCATCTATAGACATATGCCCAAACAATCTGCATATACATCTCATGTCAAAAATGAACTAGAGAAAAAGGAACTAGAATATTCACAGAATCATGCATTACTGCAACCCTGAACCAATCCTCACATCCATCTAAAGGCTAATAAACGGTAGTGCTCTCATACCATGGAAACTACAGCAACAAGAATGAATGAACTGGGGCCGGCACGGTGGCACAGTGGTTAAAGTCCTCGCCTTGCGCGCCCTGGGATCCCATATGGTCGCCGGTTCTTATCCCTGCGGCCCTGCTTCCCATCCAGCTCCCTGCTTGTGGCCTGGGAAAGCAACTGAGGATGGCCCAAAGCCTTGGGACCCTGCACCCGCGTGGGAGACCCGGAAGAGTTCCTGGCTTCGGATTGGCTCAGCTCCAGCCGTTGTGGTCACTTGGGGAGTGAACCAGGGGAAGGAAGATCTTCCTCTTTGTTTCTCCTCCTCTATGTATATCGACCTTTCCAATAAAAGTAAATAAATCTTAAAAAAAAAAAAGAATGAATGAACTGAACTACAGACACTGAATAAACATGCTTTTGGGTGAAACTAAACTATGGTAATCAGAGTCAGCGCATTGACAAATTGAGCTGGTTGTGGTTGTAAGAAGCAATTTTTGTGGCAATGCTTTCCTCATGAGGCTACTGCTACTCCACATGTTTACTTAGTGGAAAATAAACTTATCAGCAAGAATTTGTTCACTTTTCTGCATGTATACTGTAATACATTTCTTTAAAATAGTTTTTGGGCCAATGTTGTGGTGCAGAGTTAGACTTATTCCCAAGAAGCTGGTATCCCATATTAGCACCAGTTCAAATTCCAGCCTCACTTTTTCCCCAAGCCTAACCTCTTCAAATCCAGCTCTGTGCAAACGTGCCTGGGAAAGCAGCACAAGATGGCCAAAGTACTTAGATTTTTGCTACCCTTGTGGGAGACTGGGGATAGAATTCCAGGTCCAGGCCCAGCTATTTTGACCATTTGGGAAATGAACCAGCACTTGGAAGTTCTCTGTGAATTTGAAATAAACAAAATATGTATATAAAAAGAATAATGCTGCTTTTCTTTCTTTAAAAAAAGTGTATTTAAAAATAGAGACAGAGGAAGAGGGTGCTCCTATCCACTGGTTCAGATCCAGGGAGCTTGCAAAAGTCAGGGATGGGCCACGCAGAAGTCAGGAGTCAGGAACCTAAGCTGGCTCTCCAGGAGACAGGGACTCACCACGCTGGGCCATGACTACAGCCCCTTCCCCAGAGTGTGCATTAGCAGGAAGCTGGAACTAGGAGCAGAGCTAGGACTGGAACCCAGGATTCTGGAATTCTCATCTGGGATTTGGACATCTCTGGCTGTGTTTCACCTGTTCTGCCCAACTTCTGCCTCAGTTGTTGCCCTTTACCATCTATGCTCACTTGATTTCATGTCAGTCAAATGCAATTCAGCAAAACAAATACAGTGAGGTCAAGTAGTTTTTTTTTTTTCAAATTAGCAGTGATATAAATCACAATGGGTACACTATATAGAAAATACAATTCATATTTGACTTTATTAAGACAGTTCACATACCAAGGCAAGGAACCATCTCAGGATTATCCACAGCACACAGGGGAATGGCATGCCAATATATAAATAGATGCGGTGAAGTAAAAAGAAATTTGTCAGAACAAGACAGAATCAACAGAGAGATCCAATAACAACGGAAAAACAAAGCTGCAACTGGAAGTGGAGGTTTATTGTTGTTTTCTTCTTTTTAACCATTGAAATTCCCAGCTCCTATGTCTAGGTAAAATAAATAGCAAAAACCTTGCTACATAACTAGGACTCTAAGAGAATACAAGGCTATTCCTCAAAGTAGAGTTTTCTAATTGTTCCCCAGAAAACTGGGGCTGGAGGTTGGCTCCAAACGGCTTCATGAACTTGAACTCACCAGTCCCACTCCCTCCACTCACACACACCTCATACTGGTAGCTCTGCGACAGCGTCCCCGCCCCGCCCACGTCCACCAGAGGACCCACACCACCACACCCAGCCCCGGCAGGGAAGAAGCGGCCCTCGGCCACAGACACCCCACACCCTGACCCCACCGCCACAGCCCCAGCCCCGGCCCCGCCGCGCCCACACAGCCGCGCGGCCACCAGCGCCAACACAGACGCCAAGAACAGAGAAGACACCGCCGCCAGCGCCACCACCAGCGACACCGTCAGCGCCTCCGCCTGCCCAGCCTCGCCCCCCAAACCCCCCACACCCGCCTGCCCCGCCTGCCCCGCCTGCCCCGCCGGCGCGTCGGGCCGCGGCAGGTAGGGCTGCGAGAAGCCGTCCACCAGCAGCACGTGCAGCGCCACGCTGGCCGAGAGCGGCGGCTCGCCGTGGTCGCGCACCTGCACCAGCAGCCGCTGCTGCGGCGCGTCGCGCTCGCTCACAGGCCGCGCCGTGCGCACCTCGCCGCTGTGCGCCCACACGCCGAACAGCCCGGGCTCCGTGGCCTGCAGCAGCTCGTACGACAGCCACGCGTTGCGGCCCGAGTCGCCGTCCACCGCCACCACCTTGCTCACCACGTAGCCCGCCTCGGCGCCGCGCGGCACCAGCTCGGGGCACGCGCCCGCCGCAGAGCCGTTGCGCGGCGGGTACAGCACGCGCGGCGCGTGGTCGTTGGCGTCGCGCAGCACCACGCGCACGCGCGCCTCGCCGCTCAGCGCCGGAGACCCGCCGTCCGACGCGCGCACGCCGAACTCGAAGGCGCGCAGGGTCTCGTAGTCGAGCGCGCGCAGCGCGAACAGCTGCCCGCTCGCCGCGTCCAGGGCCACCAGCGCGCCCACGTCCACCTGCTGCGGCCGAGCCTGTCCCTGTGGCTGCTGCGTTGTCTGGTCTTGTGTGAGCAGCGAGTAGGTGAGCTGGGCGTTGGTGCCCGCGTCCCTGTCGCTGGCGCTCACGCTGCCGATGTGCAGCGCGGGGCTGTTGTTCTCCAGCACGAACAGGGTGTACAGGGCCTGGCTGAAGGTGGGCGCGTTGTCGTTGACGTCGGACACGTGCACTGTCACGTTGTGCTGGCTCTGCAGCCTGGGCGTGCCCAGGTCTGAGACGGTGATGGTGATGGTGTACTGGGCCCTGTCCTCCCTGTCCAGGGGCCTCTCCGTTGCTAGAGTGTAGAAGTTCTTGAAAGTGGATGTCAAAAGGAAGGGAATGTCATCTTGGACAGAGCAAATCATCTTCCCATTGTCCCCGGAGTCCGGATCAGACACACTGAAAACTGCCACTACAGTCTCGGGTGAGTTTTCTGGGATGGGGCTGGTGAGTGTGGCCATGGTCAGCTCTGGTGCGTTGTCGTTCACGTCCAGCACCTCTACCACTACGATGCATTTTCCTGAAAAGCCCCCACCATCGGTAGCTACGATTTCCACATTGTAACTTGTAGTCATCTCGAAGTCCAATGCCCCTTTCAGGCGAATTTCTCCAGTGACTTCGTCTATCCCAAATGGTTGAGTGATTTCGCTGCCTTGGAATAGAGCATAGGTCACTCTCCCGTATGCTCCGGCGTCTAAATCCTGGGCGGAGACGGTGGCAACCAAGGAGTCAGGCGGGCTGTTTTCGGGAACCTGAACCTCATACTGTGACTGTAGAAACTCGGGGGCATTGTCGTTGCTGTCCACGACTTCGACACGCACCGCCGCGGCCCCTGACCTGGGTGGGACTCCTCCGTCCAGTGCCGTGAGAGTTAACCCGAGCTCGGGCTGCTCCTCCCGGTCCAGCACTTTGTCCAGCACCAGCTCCGGGTACTTGCGACCATCTGCACGGTTATGAGTGACGACGTGGAAGTGCGAATTGGGGCTGACTGTGTAGTTCTGAACCGTGTTGCTTCCCACGTCCAAGTCCTGGGCTGTTTTCAAAGGAAACACAGAACCTGGCTGGGCGCTCTCTGGGATTTTGAGTAGCACTTCCCGCTCCAGGAACTCGGGGGAATGATCGTTTATGTCTGTGAGCTGCAGCTCAGCCTGCACAAACTGCACTGGGTTCTCTAACAATAGTTGGAAATGCAACACACAGGGTTCTGTCGCCCCGCACAGCACCTCCCGGTCCAGTTTCTCAGAAAGAAGCAAATCTCCTGTCTTTCTATCTAGCTGCAAGAGCTGTTTGTTTGCTTTGTAATGGATCTGAGCGCCCCGAGCTGCCAGTTCTCCCACCGCCAGTCCCAGGTCTTCAGCCAGATTGGCCACGAAATGGCCACTTTCTGTCTCTTCTGGAACAGAATATCTAATTGTATCAGAACCAGCCTCCCACCAAAGCAACAAAATAACAAAGAGGGTAACTTGCCTTTTGCGTGGCGTTTTTGCTCGTGCAGTCTCCATTATGCAGACCTGGTCCAGAAAATGCAGTTTCTTCAGCTCAGCATACAGTCCACCCAGTTTAGTTATCCTCCAGTTATATCTCACTCACTGACTTGCACTTAAGACGAGTGGGCTCTCTCCCGGAGCATCTCTCCCCCTAGATCTCACCGAAAATGCGTCCTTCTTTCAGAGAACATTCAGAGTTCTGATGCCCAGCTTAATGGCGACTGGGCTAACTGCGGAGCCGGCTATTCACACTCCTAAGCCTGCAGCGCCACCACGCGTTCTTATTGAGTAATTTTTTTCTGGCTTGACAAGAAATGCAAAATTCTCCAGCACCAGACTGTGTAAGGTTAAGTCTTATTTTTGTGTGACTTGTGTGTAATAGTTAAAGTTCTGTAGTGTTTCACAGGGAGTATGTTATCTACCATGTAATGCTGCGGAATTGTTGATTAAATAAATTAATTTTACTAACATTTAAAGGAAGTACATGCGCTTAAGAGGAAACTTGCTGCAGGAACACGGAAAGAAGCTAAGAAGCTACATGAGTGCAACTTTCAAAAAATATAACTATTCTAAAATTTACAAATCAGTGTACACTGCAAAACTGCAACCCCAGGCAGTGCTATAGACTGTGCCTAGTCAGTACTTTATTAAATAATTGGTTACTACTGCCTTTGAACACTAGAGACTCCAAACTTCTGCAACTTTCCAGTTATTGGAAAATTGTCTCCCAAATAAGCAGGTCTTGAGGTTAGGACTACCATGCTCTTGAATTTTTTCTTCTATTTGATCATGATAAAATAATTTGATCTCTTCTCTAAAAAACGTTCTCCCATTTAAAATAAAGAATCCAGTGACTTTTAGTGTATTCAGAGTCATGCGTCCATCATCACATCAAAAGGAAACCTTATGTCTTGTAAACTCCCTATTCCCTCACCTCTTCTGCCCTGAACTCCAAGGAAACCTTAACCCAAGCTTTTTTTTTTCTGCTGTAGAATTACATATGAATGGAATCATACAGCATAGACTTTTGTGACTGATTTCTCTTAGCATAATGTTTTCAAGGTTCATTCATGCTGTGACATATATCAGCATTTCATTCTTTTTGTGGCTGAACAACATTTTATTGTGTAGATATAACACATTTAGATTATCCATCACTCTCTGTACAGTTGGATTATTTCTGCCCTTTCATGATCAGTAATGCTGCCATGAGTATTATACACACATTTGCATGGTCTTCTTCTCACGTCACTAGCAATGGAACTGCCGGGGCCACATGGAATCTTTGGTTTTGTTTGAAGAATGGCTAGACTTTTCCAAAATCATCACACCTGGTTATGTTCCTACCCACAATGAGTGAGTTCCAATTTTCCCACATCCATTCTAAATCTATTATCTGATTTATTTGCTTTTAACCATTGCAATTAGTATGAAGAGGTATCTCCTTGTGATTTTGATTTGCATTTCTCTGAAAACTAATGATGCGCAACAGTTTTCCATGTGTTTACTGGTCATTAGCATATAGAGAGATGCCTATTTAAATACTTACCCATTTAAAATGTTATCTTTATTCAAAAGATCATTTCCTCTTTATTCTCACTATACTAGTAACTAGTAACTAGTACTAAAAACAGCCTTAGCTGGGTAAGACCAAAGCCAGGAGCTCAAAACTCAACATGAATCTACCACACTGGTGTTCTGCATCCAACCATTGGAGCCCTCACCTCTTGCCTTCTTGGTTTTCCTGTAGCAGTATGTTGGTGCAGGGGTGAAGTGTCCAGTAAGGTGTTTAGTCATACAGCACCAAGCAACTGCCCCTCTTGGCCCATTTTATTAAAATTATTTGTAAGAGCTCTTTGCATATTCTAGATATAAAGACCTCTTCAGATTTGGATGCGAGTTTTGCATCTCCATAGTTTCGATTGAATAAGCACGTTACTTTTTAATCAATGCAGGGTTTTTGTTAATTAGCTTTAGAAGTTTGTTAACTTCTAGTTAGAAGAAGTCTTAGATCCAAGCATCAATAAATAATGTTTAAGCCACTCCTTTTTTGTTATTTTAAGAAATATGTCCTTTTTGTTTTAACTCCTTCTTGAAAAAGATCTGCATACCCTATGTCATCATAGGTGTTACTGCTAAACTAGATAATTTTATTCCAAGTAACAAACCTGTGGTAAAATAATGACTGCTAAAACACGTAGTAACATCTGTAAAAATGTTAACTTAGATGCCAAAAACATCCTTTGCAAATGTGACTAAAATTAAGTTCCTGTGAAGAACAGATGATCTTGTATTGACTGGCGCAGAACAGAAGCTTTCTTGGTTGTGGTTGCAGGGAGAAGAGACTGCTCAAGAATGGCCAGAGGAGCCATGCTGCTGGCTTTAACGATGTGCAAATGAGCCATGGGTCAAGTAATATGGCTCTGTGTTTATAAGTTGGCAAAGACAATAGCACGGGCTCTTTAGAGCCACCAGAATGGAATGCATTCCTGCTGGCACCTCGATTTCAACACAATAGGACCTCTAATCTCCAGAAGCATAGAATAAATAATTTTTATTGTTTTAGGCAATTACATGACCCCCACACATTTCTCTCCAGAATGATTTTTAAGAGGTGTTGCCAAAACCATTTGCTTAAATTTTGACAGAGGTTAACTGAGATGAGCTTTTCATAAGAAAATTTCTGGAATTGTTAAGTTATGATGAAACTTTCTATACAACATTGTCTATACTGAAATTAGTTTCTTCATTTTATTTAAAATTAATAATAGAATAATAACTGTTGTCAGCCATAAGAAACATGAATTATAAAAGACTTACAGAAATGTAATACTAAAAGCAGCTTTCAACTTTTCAAAGAAAACCCGTGTGTGTGTGTGTTTGTGTGTGTGTCTGTGAAAAAAGAACAAAAATTCAACAGATGACCATGGAGTAACTGTTCCCTTACGGGACACCCATTCCTGCAATACTGACTGTATTATGCAAAATGCATGCAGAATCTAATTAAGCTGATTTGCTCACCATGAACACAAATTGTAGTGTCTGGCCCAATGCTTCTTGGTTTTTAAGATTTATTCATTTTGGGCCCGGCGCGGTGGCGCAAGTGGTTAAGTCCTCGCCTTGCACGCCCGGGATCCCATATGGGCGCCGGTTCTAATCCCGGCAGCCCTGCTTCCCTTCCAGCTCCCTGCCTGTGGCCCGGGAAGGCAGTTGAGGACGGCCCAAAGCTTTGGGACCCTGCACCTGCGTGGGAGACCCGGAAGAGGCTCCTGGCTTCGGATCGGCATAGTATCGGCCCGTTGCGCTCACTTGGGGAGTGAATCATCGGATGGAAGATCTTCCTCTCTGTCTCTCCTCTCTGTATATCCGCCTTTCCAATGAAAAATAATAAAAATAAATCTTTAAAAAAATTAAAAAATAAAAAAAAGATTTATTCATATTTATTGGAAAGAAAGATTTACAGAGAGAAGGAGAGATACACCTTCCATCTGCTGGTACACTCCCAAAATGGCCACAACAGCTGGAGCTGAGCTGATCCAAAACCAGGAGCTTCTTCCAGGTCTCCTAAGTGGGTGCAAGGTCTGAAGTCTTTGGGCCATCCTCTGCTGCTTTCCCAGGCCACACGGAGGGAGCTGGATGGGGGGGGGGGGGGAGTGGAGCATCCAGGACATGAATCAATACCCATGTGAGATCTCGGTGCTTGCAAAGCGAGGACTAGCCAATTGAGCCATTGTGCCAGGTACTAAAGCACTACTTTCAATTGAATTCTAATTTAGGAAAAAAAGAAATAAAAGCTCTGTTTTGTGGCATAGTGGATGAAACCATTATCTGTGATTCTGTCTTTCCATATGGGTGCCAGGTGTGACTCCTGGCTACTCCAATTCTCTTTAGAATGTGACTGAAAAACCAGCAGAATATTGTTCAACAGAGTTACTGGCTCAACAGGCTAATCCTTCACCCTGTGTTGCTGGGATCCCACGTGGGCATCAGCTCATGTCTCAACTGCTCCACTTCCTATCTAGCTCCCTGCTCAAGGCCTGAGAAATCAGTGGAAGATGACCCAAGTCTTTGGGACCCTGCACCAATTTGAGAGACCCAAAAGAGACTCCTACCTTTGGATCAGCTCAGCTCTGGCTGTTGTGACTATTTGGGAAGTGAACTAGCGGTGGGAAGACCCTCCATCTGTAAATCAGCATATCAAATAAGATAAATAAATAAAACTTTAAAATTGCTCAAATACTTGGGTCCCTGCAACCATAGGGGGAGATTCAGTTGAAGCTCCTGGCCCCTGACTGTCTCAGCCCAGCTCTGATTGTGCCACCACTTGGAAAGTGAATAAGCAGACGAGATCTCTGTCTCTCATTGTCTCTTGGTCTTTCTCTGTAACTCCACCTTTCCAATCAATCAAACTTACAAAGAAATAAAAAGCTTTGAAAAAATCAATTATGCTGTACACTTAAGCCTTGTGCATTTTACTATATATATATATATATATATATATATATATGTTGCTAAAACTTTTATCTGTTAAAGAGTCATGATTAGCTCCTACTGGCAATATCTACGCTAAATAAATACAGTTTTCTCAATTAAGAAACCTCAAATGTGGATCATCAAGGGGTGATATGATAGCCCCGCGGCTACCAGCAGCCTTTGTGTCTTTTACGTTTGTTTATTATGTGTGGACAGTCCTCATTTGTGGTTTCCGTAATTACTGTCCCACGTGGCTGTGTGTACACTAGCCATGCCCGAGGCGTGTCTAGCAGCAAGGAGCAGGTAAAGAGGGAAGAGGAGACCTCTTCCTGGATCAATCATTACCATTTACCAAGTCTTCTTACATGTCTCCTATAAGGGTTGAGCAAACATCTCATTGACTACAACCTGTCATGTGTCCAAGTTTTAACCGCCAATGATGTGGAGAGAATGGCATCTTTTGATTAAGTGTATTAATGAAGCAAATAAAGTTGGACTCTGAAGAAAAGATGGAAGGTGAATGGATATTGCCCCTGCGTTTTTTATTACAGGGGTCAATACTTTTAAGGCTGAAAAGCCAATATCATTGCCATGCTATTTCACCTCACGGGACACATGCAAGCGACAGTTCTTACAACTTAGAACGTCAGTGAAACTTTTTGGAAATAGAATTAAAACGATTACTCAAAAACCCTCATAAGTTAAGGAAGATAATCACACTTATGCAATCATTTAAGTGAAAACAAACCTGAATAAAGAACAAGAAGAGCAAGACCCAGACATTTCCACTGCACAAGTTCTGGTCCCTTCCTGGGTGGAATGCAATGTGAGAGAAGGAGCATCACAGCTCAGGTTTAACAACCACTAAGAAAATTCACAATGTTCTCAAAGCTATTCTACAAGTGATTGTAAAACTAATGACCTCAGACGTATTTGAATGGTAAGTTTGAGGAGCAATCATCTTGACATGATCATAAAGTAAACACCATCCCAGCTCAAATTTTAGCATAACTTTAAAAGTTCATAATCGGTTACAAAACACCTAAGCTTTGAACTTACCAAACGATGTATACAAGGAATAGAGCGACTATTTTAACTACATGCTGAAATCAAAGTCATTACTATAGTTTGCGTGCTCTTCCATTGCTATTTTGGGGGAGTTGTTCTGCAAATTAGTGAAAATCGGCTTCATGAACTTGAACTCACCAGTCCCACTCCCTCCACTCACACACACCTCATACTGGTAGCTCTGCGACAGCGTCCCCGCCCCGCCCACGTCCACCAGAGGACCCACACCACCACACCCAGCCCCGGCAGGGAAGAAGCGGCCCTCGGCCACAGACACCCCACACCCTGACCCCACCGCCACAGCCCCAGCCCCGGCCCCGCCGCGCCCACACAGCCGCGCGGCCACCAGCGCCAACACAGACGCCAAGAACAGAGAAGACACCGCCGCCAGCGCCACCACCAGCGACACCGTCAGCGCCTCCGCCTGCCCAGCCTCGCTTCCCAAACCCCCCACACCCGCCTGCCCCGCCTGCCCCGCCGGCGCGTCGGGCCGCGGCAGGTAGGGCTGCGAGAAGCCGTCCACCAGCAGCACGTGCAGCGCCACGCTGGCCGAGAGCGGCGGCTCGCCGTGGTCGCGCACCTGCACCAGCAGCCGCTGCTGCGGCGCGTCGCGCTCGCTCACAGGCCGCGCCGTGCGCACCTCGCCGCTGTGCGCCCACACGCCGAACAGCCCGGGCTCCGTGGCCTGCAGCAGCTCGTACGACAGCCACGCGTTGCGGCCCGAGTCGCCGTCCACCGCCACCACCTTGCTCACCACGTAGCCCGCCTCGGCGCCGCGCGGCACCAGCTCGGGGCACGCGCCCGCCGCAGAGCCGTTGCGCGGCGGGTACAGCACGCGCGGCGCGTGGTCGTTGGCGTCGCGCAGCACCACGCGCACGCGCGCCTCGCCGCTCAGCGCCGGAGACCCGCCGTCCGACGCGCGCACGCCGAACTCGAAGGCGCGCAGGGTCTCGTAGTCGAGCGCGCGCAGCGCGAACAGCTGCCCACTCGCCGCGTCCAGGGCCACCAGCGCGCCCACGTCCACCTGCTCCTGTCCCTGTCCCTGTGGCTGCTGCGTTGCCTGGTCTTGTGTGAGCAGCGAGTAGGTGAGCTGGGCGTTGGTGCCCGCGTCCCTGTCGCTGGCGCTCACGCTGCCGATGTGCAGCGCGGGGCTGTTGTTCTCCAGCACGAACAGGGTGTACAGGGCCTGGCTGAAGGTGGGCGCGTTGTCGTTGACGTCGGACACGTGCACTGTCACGTTGTGCTGGCTCTGCAGCCTGGGCGTGCCCAGGTCAGAGACGGTGATGGTGATGGTGTACTGGGCCCTGGCCTCCCTGTCCAGGGGCCCGTCTGTTACCAAGGTGTAGAATTTCTCTACAGATGGCTTCAGGACAAAAGGGAGATCTTCCTGGATGGAGCACAGCATTTTCCCATTACTCCCGGAATCTCTGTCTCTAATCCTAAAAACAGCTACCACAGTCTCTGGTGAATTTTCTGCCACTGGACTGGTTACAGATGACATGATCAGTTCTGGTGCGTTGTCATTGATATCTGTCACATCAACCACAACGGTACATTTGCCAAACAGTCCTCCACCATCTTGGGCTTTAATAGTTAGGGTATAAGTTTGGATTGCCTCATAGTCCAACTGGGCTTTCAGAAGAAGATGGCCAGAGGCTGAGTTGATTTGAAACGTTTGGAGAACTCTTTCAGTGGGGTAAAACAACGTGTAGACTACTTCCCCATAACTTCCAGTGTCCAAATCTGTAGCTGATACGGTGACAACGACCGAACCGGTGGTGCTGTTCTCGGGTACCTGCACCCTGTAGACGGACTGCTCGAATTCGGGCGCGTTGTCATTTATGTCTACCACTTGAATGCGCACCCGGGTGGTTCCGGACTGGGGAGGAGAACCGCCGTCCACGGCTGTGAGTGTTACATTGAGCTCTGACATCTCCTCTCGGTCCAACACTTGATCCAGTATCAGCTGGGGAACGATGCCTCCCTCCCCATCACCGAGGACGTTCACGTGGAAATAAGCATTGGCGCTAATGGTGTAGTTGCTCAGGCTGTTAATTCCCACGTCCGGGTCCTGGGCGCACTCCAAGAGAAAGGCCGTCCCTGGCATGGCGCTCTCCGGGATTTTCAGAGGAATCTCTCCATGTGGAAATGCCGGAGAGTGATCATTGATGTCTGTGACCCTTAGCTCAGCAGGGACAATCTCAAAAGGCTGTTCCAACAACAACTGGAACGGCAGCACGCAGGGCTCTGAGGGGCCGCACAGCTCCTCGCGGTCCAGCCTCTCATTTAGAAGTAAATCCCCGGTGAGCAAATCCAGCAGCACAAAGTGCAGGTGCGGGTCTGAGACAATTCTAGCACCCCGGGCAGACAGCTTCCCCACATCCAGCCCCAAGTCTTTTGCCAGGTTGGCCAGAGAGGTGCCTTTTTCAGTCTCCTCGGCCACAGAATACCGGAGCAGATCCGCGCCAGCCCAGGACATCCCCAGAAACACACAAAGAAGTAGGACTTGCCTGTTGGGCGCTGCCGCCTGCGCTCCAGCCTCCATTCCTCCCGGTGTCCGTCTCAGAAACACTCCTTCTTGGCCTCTACCCGTTCAGGGAAATAATAGCTACCGAATCCTTAAAATAGTGAAGGGTAACAGCTATGAAGGAGGGGCGCAATTCCCCGCTGTTCCTTCACTCCCTCGTCATGGCTTCCTCCTTCCTTTCTGTGGCAGGTCGCTGCATCACTTTGCTTCCTTGGCTAATTTTTTCTCTTTTTAGTCAACAGCGCCACCTTGCGTCTAGTGGATGTTATTCCCATTCTCAAAAATAGAACAGAAAAATGGCGAGATCAGAGGGACTCCATGGCCGAAGTGGCTTTTCTCAGTCTTTGTTGTTTTGTTCCATCTAAGTGGCTTTTCTCAGTCTTTGTTGTTTTGTTCCATCTTTCCCCTCAACGATCACAATAACGCCAGTTAAGTAGGGGTATAGCACTTTCCTCTCTGATATCTGAGACCACATGGAAACAGATATGCTCTCTTAAATTCAGGGATAGGAAATTAAACTCTTACGCCCCACTCAAATCCCAAGAGAATCTGAAGAATACACTCTCCTCTTGAGTCGTTTTGATAGTTCTGAGTTGTTTGCTTCGCGCCTCCAGGGTTGAAAAAGTCTTTCCAAGGTCCACCTTAGTGCAGCCACAGACTCAGCTATGACCACTTTTCCATTTTCCTTTGATTAATCGTTTGTTCAGGTCCTGATTCCTATTTTAGTAATTTGTGTTCTATTTAAGAATGGATTTTGCATAGTTCACAAATTTCTGTACTCAAAAGTTTACTTATGCGAGAAACGCAGAGAGACCCCATTCACTTATTTGTTCCCCAAATGCTGAGAATCCTGAGCCAGAAATTCAATCCAGGTCTTGCACGTGAGTGGCAGCAGCCCAATAGCTTGAAGGATCACCATTGTCCCCAGGACTGAGTAGTAGGAAGTTGGAGTTAGGAGCCAAGAATGAGTTCCAGTGCTCTGATGTAGAAGTGGGCATTTGTAAGCATTTTAACTGTTGGACCAAGTGCCTGTCCATTCAAGTTTCTTGGCATATTTTCAGCATATCATTTGTATTTAGTTATATGTATGCTCTCATTAGTAATGCTAAGAACTTGAGCCGTTACCTGCTATCTTCCAGGATTTGCATTAGTATAAACTAGCAGTGGGACTGGTATTCCAGTCCAGGCACTCTGATTAGGATGTAGGTGTCCCAAATTGTGTGTTAGTTTCCTGGTCAAAAGCCGGCTCTTAAAGTTTCTCACTTTTCGGAGATTTATGTGTTTACAAGCCAGAGTAACAGAGACAGGTGGGGATGAGATGGCAGAGACAGACTTTCCGCTCACTGAATCAATCCGCAAATGCACACAGGGGCTAGGGCTGGACTGGGCAGAACGCAGGAGCCCCCAAATCCTCCCAGGCTCCCATATGGATGACTGGGTTCAAACACTTGGGCCACTACACTTTGCCACCCAGGCACAACCGCCAGGAAAATAACAAGCACTTCCACATGGGACAATGTGGACCACCTGATGAGCCTCACAGGCCTGGCCTCCTTAGGCCTGCTATGTCTTATTTTTAAAGAACAAGAGTCAGAAATTAAATACCAAACCATTTATTATGGACAAGCAGTCACCCATCGACCAACTCTTTTTCATGTAACAGGAATCGAATCACTTAGAATAAAAGAGATATTCTACTTTCTGAGAAAAATTACCTATTTTAGAAAACAAGACCCAAGTAAATACTGGTTCGTTGACAGTAAAGACACGAGTGGACATAAAACAACATAAAGGCAAGGACTTACATGATTAAAAATCTTGTAGAGCTGAAAGTTACCATTCACAGCAGGGTCAGACTCATGGTAAGCACAATCAGAAAGTCCAGAACATGGTTTGCTCAATCATAACAAAAACATCTTTTTTTCAAAAAGCAGAAAAAGCTAAAACATCAGAACATTGAAAACATTGGTGATTATAACCAATGCTTTCTTTTTTTTATAGTATCCAGCACTGCGCCCTCCTTTCCAGGTGGGATGCACATTCTGACTCAGACAATATAACCAAAAGAAAATCTGAGCAATACAGTATCTCGGCATTTTAAAACACATGCATGTGAAATGCCCAAGGAAACTAGAGGAAAGGTTAGAGAACTCATGAAGCTGAAATGGCAGCACACAAGTATATACGGAGGTGTGGATAAGCACCTTCTATCCGTGACAATGAAAATAATAGAAACATATTTCCCCCATACTTAGATTTCTAACCAACAACAGAGTGATGTTTAAAGTTGGAACTTTCATTACTTATGTCTGCATTCTCTCCAAACAGGTTGGGGATAATCGGCTTCATGAACTTGAACTCACCAGTCCCACTCCCTCCACTCACACACACCTCATACTGGTAGCTCTGCGACAGCGTCCCCGCCCCGCCCACGTCCACCAGAGGACCCACACCACCACACCCAGCCCCGGCAGGGAAGAAGCGGCCCTCGGCCACAGACACCCCACACCCTGACCCCACCGCCACAGCCCCAGCCCCGGCCCCGCCGCGCCCACACAGCCGCGCGGCCACCAGCGCCAACACAGACGCCAAGAACAGAGAAGACACCGCCGCCAGCGCCACCACCAGCGACACCGTCAGCGCCTCCGCCTGCCCAGCCTCGCCCCCCAAACCCCCCACACCCGCCTGCCCCGCCTGCCCCGCCGGCGCGTCGGGCCGCGGCAGGTAGGGCTGCGAGAAGCCGTCCACCAGCAGCACGTGCAGCGCCACGCTGGCCGAGAGCGGCGGCTCGCCGTGGTCGCGCACCTGCACCAGCAGCCGCTGCTGCGGCGCGTCGCGCTCGCTCACAGGCCGCGCCGTGCGCACCTCGCCGCTGTGCGCCCACACGCCGAACAGCCCGGGCTCCGTGGCCTGCAGCAGCTCGTACGACAGCCACGCGTTGCGGCCCGAGTCGCCGTCCACCGCCACCACCTTGCTCACCACGTAGCCCGCCTCGGCGCCGCGCGGCACCAGCTCGGGGCACGCGCCCGCCGCAGAGCCGTTGCGCGGCGGGTACAGCACGCGCGGCGCGTGGTCGTTGGCGTCGCGCAGCACCACGCGCACGCGCGCCTCGCCGCTCAGCGCCGGAGACCCGCCGTCCGACGCGCGCACGCCGAACTCGAAGGCGCGCAGGGTCTCGTAGTCGAGCGCGCGCAGCGCGAACAGCTGCCCGCTCGCCGCGTCCAGGGCCACCAGCGCGCCCACGTCCACCTGCTCCTGTCCCTGTCCCTGTGGCTGCTGCGTTGCCTGGTCTTGCGTGAGCAGCGAGTAGGTGAGCTGGGCGTTGGTGCCCGCGTCCCTGTCGCTGGCGCTCACGCTGCCGATGTGCAGCGCGGGGCTGTTGTTCTCCAGCACGAACAGGGTGTACAGGGCCTGGCTGAAGGTGGGCGCGTTGTCGTTGACGTCGGACACGTGCACTGTCACGTTGTGCTGGCTCTGCAGCCTGGGCGTGCCCAGGTCAGAGACAGTGATGGTGATGGTGTACTGGGCCCTGGCCTCCCTGTCCAGGGGCCCGTCTGTTACCAAGGTGTAGAAATTGTCTATGGTGTGTTTCAGAAGAAAGGGTAGATGTTCTTGAATGGAACAAAATGTTTTTCCATTGTCTCCAGAGTCTGCATCTGAAATTCCAAAAACAGCCACTAAGGTCTCCGGGGAATTTTCTGGGATCTCACTGATCAGTAAGGACATGGTCAGTTCCGGTACATTGTCGTTGACATCCGTCACTACTACTTCCACGGTGCATTTTCCCGTGAGACCCCCGCCATCTGAGGCTTCAATTTCCATTCGATAAGACTGAATTTCTTCAAAATCCAATAGTCGTTTTAATCTAATTTCCCCCGTGGCTGGGTTTATTTCAAAGGCCTGAATGATTTGGGTTGAAGCTTGGAAAAGTGAGTAGGAGTGTTCCCCGAAGGTCCCAGCATCTGCGTCGCTGGCGGCGACAGCAGCGACCAGCGAACCTAGCGGGCTGTTCTCTGGGATCTGAACCTGGTACAGCTGCTGAGCAAACTCGGGGGCGTTGTCGTTGATATCCATGACCAGGATGAGGACCTGGCAAGTCCCAGTCCTCGGAGGCACCCCACCGTCCAGCGCCGTGAGGGTCAACCTGAACTCGGGCTGCTCTTCCCGGTCCAGCGCCCTGTCCAGCACCAGCTCCGGGTATCTCCAGCCATCGCTGAGGTTGCGGGTGAGGAGGTGGAAGTGGGAACTGGCGTCGATGGTGTAGGTCTGAACCGCGTTGCTGCCCACATCCACATCCTGAGCTGCTTTCAGAGGGAACAGCGCCCCGGGACGGCTGCTCTCCGGGATCTTGAGTAGGATTTCCTTCTCTGTGAACTCCGGGGCGTGGTCATTGACGTCTTGGAGCTGAAGTTCACCTTGGATAAACTGCACAGGGTTTTTCAGTAACACCTGGAAGTGCAGTAAACACGGATTCGTGTCACCACACAATTCCTCGCGGTCCATCCTTTCTTTTACAAGCAAATTTCCGCTCCTCTCTTCCAGCTCCAAATACTGTTTATTCCCTTTGGAGAGAATCCGGGCACCCCGCGCGATCAGCTCCCCTGCTCCCAGCCCCAGATCTTTTGCTAGGTTAGCTATAAGAGAACCGCTCTCCCTCTCTTCCAGAATGGAATACTTGTGGGCCGCGCTGCCCACCTCCCACAGTAGTAATGAGAAAATAATGGCGGTCACTTGCCTTTTCTGCAGCGCATTTGAGAGCGGAGTCTCCATTGTTCCTCCGGGGACAAAGACTGAAGGTGCAGTCTTCAACAATAGCACACACAAAAAATAATGCTTCACGTAAACTCAGCTAAATTTAGTCACCTTGAGTTGCTTTCATTGACTGACGGGAGAATAGGTACCTCTCTGAAGCTTTTTGTCTCCAGCAGTGTGAAAGGTTTCCTTTTCAAGCTGCTAAAAACTGCTTGGCTTGGAAGGAGTCGCTGACGCTGGAGACGTTTTACATTTTCTTAGCCTGCAGCGCCACCAAGCGTTCTACTTTACAACTTCAGATAATTTTCATTTTAAAACAAGTTTGTTAAAACAACTGAAAGGCATTGCTTGATTTTTTAAAAAAGATTTTTTTAAATTGGAAAATCAGATTTACAGAGAAGAGACAGAGAAAGATCTTCCATCTGCTGGTACAGTCCCCCAAGTGGTCGCAGTGGCCAGAGCTGAGCTGGTCCAAAGCCAGGAGTCAGAAGCTTTTTCTGGGTCTCCAATGCGGGTACAGGGTCCCAAGGGTTTGGGCTGTTGTCTACTGCTTTCCCAGGTCACAAGGAGGGAGCCGGATGGGAAGTGGAGCAGCTGGGATACAAACCAGCACACATATGGGATCCTGGTGCATGCAAAGCAAGCACTTTAGCCACTAGGCAACCATGCCGGGCCCTGTTGCGTGATTTTTAGGTCACAGAATGTTAAAAATTCCCCTTTCCCACCTGTTATGAAGTCTTGTTCAGGTAATTAACAGTAGTTGTGAAATCACAAATAACTTCCAGGCCTATTTTCTCTTAAAACTCTGCTGAGGTAAATTCATATCTACTTAGTATCTCTCCAGATAATACCAGTAAGTTCTTCCTCTTGGGGAATTTACACTACAAAAATACTCATTTGTTTTTGTTAAGACAAGTTTATGGTTTTTAAAATTCTACTCCCAAATTGTAATGTTCCTATAACTTCTCAAATAAACTTAAAAGGTGATTTCTTGTCAGCCTCTGGGCCTCTTGGTAAACTTTTTCCTTTATAAACCGACTTGTACAATGCCTAGCAGAGTTTTACTAGAATTTATTAGACTAGTACAATACCCATTTCTTTTATTAAAAACCAGTATATGCTCAGAATTCAATGTCTTTTCTACAAGCATGAAGATAAGGGGCAAAACTCTGTTTTCTGGGGAAGAGTTCTGATCTACCTTCGCTGGCCCTGTCCCTGCACATATCCTCGGGGACTCTGGGGATGGGGTTATTGGATAAACTTCATTGCTGCAAAGGAAACCATGTGGCTGGGGCAAGAATAGCAGGAGAAGCAAATTCCCTCCAAAGAACAAGGATCCTGTTAGAAGGAACCCAGAGTAAATCTCTGTGAATACAAACAGTAATTAGCTGGAAGTCATCCTTTTCAGTTCACTTGTATGGAAGCAAATCACAGGCAAATATATTTTAGGTAAGCCTAGTTCCATTTCAGTTAAGAATGGACATAAAATATTCACTCTATTGTCATGTAAATATAAATTGCCTATAGGCAATGGAAAATATCTTTTTCATAAAATGTGACAAATATAACCTACGCAAATAAAACCAAATATGGACTAAAGTGTGGGAGCAAGGAATTTGTGTTTGTTAAAGACAAATGCTTAAACAGTACCAAAAGGGAAAATCTTACACTAGCTACTGACCTGCTATCAATAACTTACTCAGCTGTAAACAGTGTACTCAGCAGCTTGACAAGGAGTTCGCAAGCTTGATTTTGACAAAACAATACTTCTGAATTATCCAATTTTTAGACACATATAAGGAGATAAAGTGTCTTCTCAAACATTTTTGTTTTTTTAACAGAAGATGAGTGGAGGAGATTCTCTGATTTGAAGGAGATCAAATGAGTGATTTAAGAAGTAACAATATGGGGCGGCGTGGCCTAGGGGCTAAAGTCCTGGTAACTAAAGTCCTCACCCTGAACGCCCAGGATCCCATATGGGTGCCGGTTCTAATCCCTAATCCCGGCAGCTCCACTTCCCATCCAGTTCCCTGCTTGTGGCCTGGGAAAGCAGTCAGGACGGCTGCACCCAGTAGGATACCCGGAAGAAGTTCCTGGATCCTGGCTTCGGATCGGCATAGCATCGGCCATTGCACTCACTTGGGGACGGAAGATCTTCCTCTCTGTCTCTCCTCCTCTCTGTATATCTTACTTTACAAAAAAAATAAATAAATCTTTAAAAAAAAAAAGTAGTAATATGAAACGGATTGTAAAAGTTCCTGGGGGGAAAATGGGCTTGAAAGACAGCCCTCTGGGCACAGAACAATGGTTCAATGACTAAATCCTCACCTTACATGTACCAGCATCCCATATGGGCGCCATTTCATAGCCCAGCTGTTCCCTGCTTATGACCTGGGAAAGCAGCAGAGGATGGCCCAAAGCCTTGGGATACAGAACCCATGTGGCAGACCTGGAAGAAACTCCTGAAGTGCCTCAGCTCCAGGCCATTTCGGCCATTTGGGGAGTGAACCAGGGAATGGAAGATCTTTCTGTTTTTCATCTCTCTGTAAAATCTGATCTGCCTGTTCAAATAAACAAATACATCTTTTAAAAAATTCTTGCCTCGCAGTGCTGGGATCCCGTATGAACACCAGTTTGTGTCCCAGCTGCATTTCATCTAACTCCCTACTTGTGGTCTGGGAAACCAGCAGAGGATGACTCAAAGCCTTTGAAGCTGTACCACAATGGGAGACACGGAGAAGGCTCCTGGCTCTGGGCTTCCTTCCAGCTCAGCTCTGATCACTGGGGCAACTTGGGGAGTGACCATGTGGACAGAGATCTTTTTCTTTGGTAAATCTATTTTGTATTTGCCTTTCCAATGTAAATAAACAAATATTTTTAAATAATGAAAATAAAATTTAAAAAGACAACTGAGTTTAATGGTAAAAGGGAATCCATGCATACTTTTATAGTATGCATTTCCACAAAATTTTAGAATACAATTTGCTTTTAATAATTCTAAGTATACTTTAATATACAAAGTTATTAGCATGCCTTTACACAGAAAATGTAAAATATTTTTTAAAAAATTATTGGAATGTATACCAAATATTCATTCAGCATTTACAACTGACGTGGTGCTTTCTCTAAAAGCTATCATGCTCATAAATGAGACTAAGAAACTAAATTAATGTGTTGACACTACAATGGTGCTTACATGAATAATGTTGGCGCTATTGCCCCATACTGACATACACGTCTGAATAGCACTGTCAGCACTTACTTATCATCATTGTTTCACATTTTGGGGCTTGCACCCCAATTTAGGCTAATACTGGATAATAAAAACAAAGTACATTTTTAAATATTGCAATACAGCAATAATAAAATGACTATAACAATATGTCAACTAAAATTGCTTAATTTATGAAAACATTTGCTTTATAAATGGTCACATACGGAAAAGTGTTTCAATACAATAAAGCAAAACTAGAGAAAATACTGTGTATGCTTAGTATCTAAACTTAAAATTAAAAAAAAAATAGGAAACTAAGCAACATACAGCACTAACATAGCATGCATCAACAACTAATTATAAAGAGATTTCAAAATCTAACAAACACAAATATATACATAAATCAAATACTTAACTGAAAGGGAAGCTACTCCGAATGCTGGGGCTCTTCTCTATTTCAATACCAGGAAATTCAGGAGAAAAATTCGGGGCAATCGGCTTCATGAACTTGAACTCACCAGTCCCACTCCCTCCACTCACACACACCTCATACTGGTAGCTCTGCGACAGCGTCCCCGCCCCGCCCACGTCCACCAGAGGACCCACATCACCACACCCAGCCCCGGCAGGGAAGAAGCGGCCCTCGGCCACAGACACCCCACACCCTGACCCCACCGCCACAGCCCCAGCCCCGGCCCCGCCGCGCCCACACAGCCGCGCGGCCACCAGCGCCAACACAGACGCCAAGAACAGAGAAGACACCGCCGCCAGCGCCACCACCAGCGACACCGTCAGCGCCTCCGCCTGCCCAGCCTCGCCCCCCACACCCGCCTGCCCCGCCTGCCCCGCCTGCCCCGCCGGCGCGTCGGGCCGCGGCAGGTAGGGCTGCGAGAAGCCGTCCACCAGCAGCACGTGCAGCGCCACGCTGGCCGAGAGCGGCGGCTCGCCGTGGTCGCGCACCTGCACCAGCAGCCGCTGCTGCGGCGCGTCGCGCTCGCTCACAGGCCGCGCCGTGCGCACCTCGCCGCTGTGCGCCCACACGCCGAACAGCCCGGGCTCCGTGGCCTGCAGCAGCTCGTACGACAGCCACGCGTTGCGGCCCGAGTCGCCGTCCACCGCCACCACCTTGCTCACCACGTAGCCCGCCTCGGCGCCGCGCGGCACCAGCTCGGGGCACGCGCCCGCCGCAGAGCCGTTGCGCGGCGGGTACAGCACGCGCGGCGCGTGGTCGTTGGCGTCGCGCAGCACCACGCGCACGCGCGCCTCGCCGCTCAGCGCCGGAGACCCGCCGTCCGACGCGCGCACGCCGAACTCGAAGGCGCGCAGGGTCTCGTAGTCGAGCGCGCGCAGCGCGAACAGCTGCCCGCTCGCCGCGTCCAGGGCCACCAGCGCGCCCACGTCCACCTGCTCCTGTCCCTGTCCCTGTGGCTGCTGCGTTGCCTGGTCTTGCGTGAGCAGCGAGTAGGTGAGCTGGGCGTTGGTGCCCGCGTCCCTGTCGCTGGCGCTCACGCTGCCGATGTGCAGCGCGGGGCTGTTGTTCTCCAGCACGAACAGGGTGTACAGGGCCTGGCTGAAGGTGGGCGCGTTGTCGTTGACGTCGGACACGTGCACTGTCACGTTGTGCTGGCTCTGCAGCCTGGGCGTGCCCAGGTCTGAGACGGTGATGGTGATGGTGTACTGGGCCCTGGCCTCCCTGTCCAGGGGCCCGTCTGTTACCAAGGTGTAGAAATTCTCCGTAGATGGTCTTAGAATAAAAGGGTTTTTGTCGTCTATAGAACAAACAACTTCCTGGTTGCGTCCAGAG